AATATTTTCTATAATTTTGCTCTCTGATCAGAAAATGAAATTTGGAGATAGGAGAAATTGGAAAGCAAAACTACATTATATGCACCAGGCATATAGATGGGTAATTAGATCAGAGAAAATTTAACCGAACTGAATATACGGAATAAAAATCTAACAGGGGAACATGGGAGAACAATTAACTGAACTATTGTTCGTTAATGTATATTATGATATAAATGGTTGCGAGGTTTACGAATGCAGCTCACAAATAGTGTGCATTCACATACTCTGATTTGGACGGCATCACAAGGAATCTTCCAGCACATGATTTTTAAATCAGGCTGTCCGTCTGATTGGATGATGAGTATATACTTTTAGAATTGGCCAGCACATGATTTTTGCCATAGGGCATCGATTAAGGATAGAAATCGATTCTCAACCCAGAATCAATTATAAAATCGATTAAATAGATTTGATTATATAATCAATCAATTTTCAATCAATTTTCAAGTAAATCTGTTCTACCACTACGTATTTACGTAATTAATTTTGTTCATGAAATTAGACATTCAGATGGAACTGATACTGTAGAAATTGTCAATATTTGCGTGCAATTTGTGAAAGGATTTGACATCAAAAGCTGCTCGAGAATAAATGGAAAATCTTGAAAAGAGAAACTCTGTTCTAGAACGAGATGTGTTTTCAACAGCGAGAAGCAATCCTAAAGAATGTATGTGATGCTAATTTTATTGAATCAAAAATATTAATTTGGTAATCTATAATTATTTTTCATTTGCACATATTAAGGTCAAATTATTTGAAATAAAAATACCATATGCTCGATATTCTATCGCCAAAGACGAATACACCGAAGCAAAAAAAAAGATTAATAGTCTGGTTCAAGAAAAAGAACCAGTGAAGCATAGAAGAGAGTATGCATGATTTTAATATTGTTGATATTTATTTATTACCTCATAATTAAATGAAATTCATTCGTTTAATCATTACTTAGGAGATCGAAAAATGCTGAAAAAACATCATTATTTTTACCATTTGCTCCACTTTGTTTGCACATTGTTCAATCTGTCGCATGATTTTGACATATTGATCATACAGACTCTTTCTTTCTAGTGACTAATAAATCGATTCCAATTGTTAGTGACAATGATAATAATAATAATGAAATTATCTAAAAAAAGTGATGCCCTTCAAAAACAAATATGATCTTAAAAAGAGAAGAAAAAGAGAGAAATAAACGAATTGCACGCCTTCAAGCAGAAATTGTTGAATTAGAGAGTATTGTTAACGAGCCACCGCCAGAAGTCAATATGAGCAGTTTTCAATAACAATTGGTGGTGTTTTTTTACTTTGATAAGATAATTTGAAATAAATGACAATTATTGAAATAGCACATTCATAATAAAGGAACAAGTAGATAATCGTCTTAGGACTAATGTCGAACTTCAATTAAAACAAGGAGAATATGTTGATGTAAGAAATAACTTTCTTCTTCAACGCGAAAATTTTGTCAAAGAGTAAGAACATTTCTTTTATTATCTTAAATTCGATTTTTGATGATCCTATTTATCTTTATTATTAATCATGCTATTCTACTAATATTTTTAGACTCAGACAAATAAAATAAATAATTACAAATAAACATAAAAGATAATTCAAGTATAAAAGTAAAGTGATTGCTATTTTCTTCCAATAAAGCGCAGTATTTTTCTTTTGATATTACCTTATTTTGTTGGAGGTTTTTCATCATGAATCTGTAGTTTTTCTTGCAAGATACTCGACATCTCTTCGTTCTCTTTGATTTCGTGTGGTGTACTCAAATCGAAATCGCTTGGAACAAACAAACTGACACTTGTCAACCCTAAACATTCGATATACTGTAAGTTTTAATTAACGTGAAACGATAATATTATTTATATTTAGAAATAAAAAGTAGCTGTCTCAGTTGGAATTGAAATTAATTTTGAAGTAAAAATTCGACTGGTGTAAACTGCGTTTGAGTGGATTTCTGGTTTTTTATTCGTATTCGTAGGAACGATTTTCACCTTCTCTTCAAGTTCTTTCCATTTCTGCTTTTCTAGTTCAAGACACTCTTTAATTGCTTCATGTGTTTTAAGAGATCTAAAGAGTTAAAGTACCGGAAATGCAAATTATTCAACTCTGTCAGAGATTTATATTTGATGGATCTGAAAAAGTCAAAAAGTTCCTTAGCAGTTGGTCTGTTTTCTGGAATAGGATCCCAACACTTTTCAATAATAAACTTGAATAATTTAGGAACATTATTTGCTATCGTAGGTCGTACTCCGTTATAGATGTCTAATACGAGATCATTACTATGACCTCTGGACTCATATAAGGAAGTACTCTGCAAATTTTTTGTTCAGATTTTTCTATATCTGCTGGGCCGGTAAGTCCAAAACCAGCAATTTGAGGATAACCATGCATTAATAAATTTCCAGGGTGAAAGTTACGATGCACAAATTCCTCTTCGTGAATTTTATTCAAATTATTGACGATATCAATTAAATGATTTAATTTTTGTTTCCAAGTCAGTTCTTCGTATTTGGAATTCATATATTTGCGTAGATCGCCATCTTTTGCATAATCCATCACTATCGAGTATTCACTTGTAGCTGGGTTTTTAGTTATTCCATAATATTTAATATTCCAAGTATACTTTAGAGCGGTCTGAATCTAATTTTGAAAAAGTTGATTAGATTGAAAAACAAAAAAAAAACAATATGCTTAAGATGTTGATTTTACCTCGTTTATAAACTCGGATGTAATTTGCTTTGAATTGTGTAATGACTTCAACACAACTTTGCGGTCTTCCTTTAGTTTAAATCTATTCTCTTCATGATTCCACTTCTCGTAGTCGTTCAGTGTTGCTTTATAAATTGAACCAAAACCGCCTTTTGCAAGATATTCAACACTGGTAAATCTTCCAAAAGGGATCCATTCAAATACATTATTAATTTTCGCGCATTCATTTATTAACGTTAAACTGTCGATATCATTATTTTCGCTAGACCATTCGATTTGTTTGTGGTAATCAATACATCCCATACAGTACTCATTTTTTTGACAATCGGAACATTTACTACAATCATGATAGGTTATCACTATCGAATATTCATTTGTAGCTTGGTTTTTAGTCATTCCATGATATTGAATATTACTATAACTAATAGTGCACTTTAGAGCAGTCTTAATCTAATTTTGAAAAAATTAATTAGATTGAAAAACAAAAAAGCCATACATATGCTTACACTTTAGAAGGTGTTCATTTTACCTCGTTTATAAACTCGGATGTAATTTGCTTTGAATTGTGTAATGATTTCAACACAACTTT